CGTACACCGTCCCTTCAAATGTGAAGAACGTCTGGAGGCAGTATTTAAGCAGTTGCACCAGGTGCCCCCGCCTAGGAGTATTGTTTGACTCCGTGTATTGGCTGTCAAGGAGGTCGCTGACAGTTTCGACTGCCAAGTCCTTTGGGATCGAGGTGAAAAGCGAGGTTACATCGAACGACACCATGACCTCGTCTGTGTTTATTTGCAGGCCTTTCAGTCTTTCCAGGAAATGGACGGAGGAGCGGACCGTCGTGTCGGAGCCCGAGGTGAGGCAGTTCAGGCGTCGGAACATCCATTTGGCCAGGTTGAATGTGGGTGTCCCGCGTAAGGATACGATGGGACGAAGTGGGGCACCATCTTTGTGTATTTTGGGCAGCCCGTAGAACCTTGCCATGGCAGCATCAGTCGGTTTGGTGGCCAGTCGTTCTGCCCTCGTCATCGCGCCATTATTTTGTAGCATGGTGAGCGTCGTGTTTATTTGCGTCACCAGCTTCTTCATGGGGTCTCCATCAAACTTTACGTACGCTTGCCTGTCTTCAAGCAAGGCATTGGCTTTCTGGAGTTCGGCCGACAAGGTAGCCGAACTCCACTATCTACGGCGGATGTTCACCTCCAACGGTTACCCCCGCAGCTTTATAGAACGCAACAGACTATCGAGGCCAACAATAAAGTCAACGGCAAATCAGCCGAAAGTCTGGCGAGCGCTGCCATATATTGCGAACGTTTCCGAGGCAGTTGCTCGCATCTTGCAACCATTGGGTATCGGAATCGCCCTCAAACCAGAGGCGACAATTAGACGTCTGGTCATGAGGCCAAAAACGCCTCTGCCACGAGGCGAAACTGCCAACGTCGTTTATCGGATCCCGTGTAGTTCCTGTGAGGCAAACTACGTTGGAGAAACGGGGAAGAGATTGCAGACCCGTATGGACGAGCATGCAAGAGCGGTAAGGAGAATGGACCAGCTCTCGTTGGTGGCAGAACATTGTGCAGCTTTTGGCCACGCCTTCGCCTTCCAAGACGCCGAAGTCTTGGGCCAAGGGAGCGATCAAACGGTCAGGGAGACGCTCGAAGCCTGGCACACCACAACTACCTCAATCAACCGCTGCGTAACTTTACCGGCTGCCTACCAAGCCCTACGGGTGAAGTTCAATAGGCAGGGCTACCGACGAGACGTCAGGCCGGAGACGACAGTAACCAAACCCAGACCAAGCGGGAACACGGACGGACATAGACAGACGTCGGGAACAAACGAAACCAGGGGACAACCGGCGGCGAACGCGGGCAGACGAGAGCAGTCGGTGAGAACGCCCAACAGTGCCAGGCCCCCCCCCAGCCCGACGTCAACACTGGCATGACAACCACCGTCAACACAGTTACGGGCAGGTTTGAACGGGACGGCGAGACGAGAACCCGCGACAGTGACAGGAATCCCCAGCCCGACGCCAACACTGGCATGACAACCACCGTCAACACGGTTACGGGCAGGTGTGAACGGGACAGCGAGACGAGAACTCGCGACAGTGACAGGAACCCCCAGCCCGACGTCAACACTGGCGTGACAACCACCGTCCACGCGGTTACGGGCAGGCGCGAACGGGGTAGGAAGGCGAGATACGTGGAGGGCGGACAACGGACAATGCAAACAAGAGCAATGGCCGCGGTCACCCCGACGCCACCCCCCTCCCCACACCCGACAAAGGAGGAGGAGAAACCGATGCCGCCATGACAACAATCGTCAGGCCTGGTGATGCAGCGCGCTGGAAGTCAGTGACACGCCAGCACGAAATAAAACTCTTAAATACTGTGACGTGCAGTACGCAAACCACCTCCGATGATGGAAGCTTGTTTGCTTTCGAAACGTCAGGCAAATATACCTATGGTTCCTGCGATCGCCTTATCTTCTCGGATATAATATATATATATATATATATGTATATATTGGATGGGAGACGAGAGGGTCTGGGGTAGATTGATACAGAACTGTTTCAGCGTTGTTTGCTTTCATTCAGCCACTCATAAGCCTGACTACCAGCTGGGACCGGAAACACAAACATGCATACAGACACACTTGTCGGAGCTTGCCCACCACTGGGGTCTATTAGATGGGCCCTAAACACTTCATCGAGCCGTTGTTCATCTGTGCCTCCCCACCTATCCGTCTCCGTCGTTGCAGGTCGGGTATTTTTTTACTCTGGAATGGGCGCATATTCGAACAGGGGATCATTCGTTAGTGCTGACGAGTTTACAGATTGAAGAAATCGAATGCTGTGTAACTTGAATTGAGTTAAATGTAATCATTCTAAAGGGAAGTGCAATGTTGGAGAGATCAGCAATTAAAATCTTAGGTTTAGATGGTACGATATTCACATATTTAGTACACGGCGACACACTACTGTCAAGTATTCGAAAAATCTAGATTGCTTGCTTACGTGTTTGTGTTTCCGGTCCGAACGTGTTGTCAGGGTTACGATTGGCTGAAATTAGGCAAACAAACCCGAAACAGTGCTGTGTCAATCTACTTCCCAGACTATGTCGTCTCCCCTCTGCTGTCACAACTTGGCCGACTTCGGCCTGGTCGGGGATCACCTGTTCGTGACGCCTATCGCCCAAACGAAGCTTGTTTGCTTCAGTAAGTCAATGGATCCGTGTGCGCCCATTCCTGAGTGAATATATATATATATATATCAGATGAATAATTTCAGAAATTAATCAGTGCAGAACTTGGAGTTAAATCTCCGGGACATGACTTTTTAGGGTTAGAACCGAAATTTTGATGAACATTTGAGTCTAGACAATCAACTACTGTGGAATAACCACGTAATACCCATTCTACAAACAAGTAGTACTACGAGTAGTATGAATTCCATATGGTAAAGGTATTATACCGTACTCCCGACCTATATACTTGCTAAAAGCCCAGACACGTGTTTCGCCGATATTCTGCCGCTGCGTGACACAGCTGCGAGTGGATCGGCTCTTCAGTGGGACCCCCAGCGTTCTCTAGCGGTTTCCGGTATATGAACTCCAGAGAATAATCAGGTGAATAATTTCAGAAATTAATCAGTGCAGAACTTGGAGTTAAATCTCTGGGACATGACCTTTTAGGGTCAGAACCGAAATTTTAATGAACACTTGAGTCGAAGACAATCAACTACTGTGGAATAACCACGTGGCCACTCTATGAAGATACGGACAACAATGTCCAGGCTGAACCTTCGTTCTGAATTTTTCACGCACAGGGTAGTGGAAAAATGGAACGAGCTCCCTCAGTCAGTCGTGGAGGCGACATCCCTGCAACTCTTCAAGAAACGCTTGGATAATTATTTGTGTCCCCTGTTTTCCCTCGAATGTCTGAACCTGAGCTAAATACCCCGGTTCCCCACATATTTTGTTCTTTATGACAATGCTACTCAAATGAATCAAGTAATATTTATATAGCGAATATTTTCATTGTTACTGTACAGTTATTTCTAACGAGCTGACATGTAATCAATAAGGTTTTCAAAGGCTTTGCATATCATCATAATCAAATAAACTGAAATAAACTGAAATTTTATGAGGCAACCCGCATACCCTATCCGTCTTTGACCATTTACAGTGGAATTAAATGATCACCATTGTACCTTTTATGCATTACTGGCAATAAATAAATCGAATGCGTGATCTGTCACAGAGTCGGATACTGGAAATTAGCCAAAAGTATTGAAAGTCGGATATTTTAATGGTGCACCTATGTCTGATTTCTTAACTGAATGACTGGGTGGTAGTCTTTGAATGTCACGCTTTCGTACGCTCCATAAGCTAGCTGTATCGCTTGAAAATGTTCCCGATTTTTTTGTAGTATTTTACTGTAGAACAAGTCACAAAATAGGCCATCAGAATTCTGACAAAATGAAGTGTTGCATTTGCCCATTGCC